AGCCCATGTTACACCAGGCAAGTCATTACTCTATGCAGGGCCTCTTCCTCCACCCCCACCTCTGCCTCCAGTCACCCAGCTGGTGCCGGCCACCAGCTCCTGTGCCCACTGCTGCATGGAGCCCTGCCCCCACCCTATACTCACAAAGCCCTCCCTGCTCAGCACCTACCCCCACCCCAGACCCAGGTTCACGGTAGGCAAGCCTCTGGTACCCCCCACATTGCTCCTGGGGCCGTGGAACACCTCCCTGAATCATTCAGCCCTCTTGATTGGAACTGCCTGTTTAACGTCTGCATTTTCCAGAACTCTCGGCCCGTTCTGCTTGTTCTTTTTTCCATTGTACCTTTTGCCGCTAACATACTATTATAATTTACTTATTCTATGTACGTGGATTGGCTATCTCCTCCATTTAAAACATCAGCTTCTCAGCCCTATCACCCATCTGCTTTGTTCACTGAAATACCCCAAGTCCTGAGAACAGTGCCTGGCTGGTAAAAGCGACTCAAGGAGTATTTGTTGTATGAAAAAAGTAAGTCATTTCCCTCGTTAGACTATCTGCCTCTTGAAAGCAGGAAGTATCTTTTCATTCTATAGCCCATATGGGGGGCACAGTAATGCCCATGACCCTCAACCAAAGATGTCCACATCCTCATCTTTGAGGCCTGCAAATATGTTGTCTGACATGGTAAAGAAGAATGTGCAGATGTGATCACAGTAAGGACCCAGGGATGGAGTCGCCATCCCAGCCTGGATAATTTGGGTGGGTCCAATGTAATGAGAAGGGCCCTATAAAGAGGGAGTAAGAAGGCTGTCAATTTGCCCCTGGAAGCAGAGGTCAGAGTGCGTGGATGTGAGAACTTAACCTGCCATTGCTGGCTCTGAGAATGGAGAAAGGGAGCTTTGGGTCAAGGAATGTGGGTGGCCTCTCAATGCCAAAAAAGGCAAGAGAGCAATCCTTCCCAGAACGACTGCAGCTCTCTCGACACCTTTTAGCATAAAAAACCACTGCAGAGTTCTGACCTCCAGAATTGTAAGCTAATAAGTTTGTGATGTTTTAAACCATAAGTTTGTGGTAATTTGTGGCCGTGGCAACAAGAAATTAACACACCAGGGACTGAACATATTGTGTTGCTCAGCAAATGCCTGCTAAGTGAGTGCCTGTCAACCATAAATACAATGCTACTTTGAGTCTAAAACAAAATTTAAACCATAAGACCATTCACAAGTGATTTAAGCCATAAGCCAATAGTGATGACTGTTGCTTGTTGCTGTTATTATTTTCTTCGGTTTTTCTTTTCTTTTAATTTAGCTAACTAATTTCAACTCAGAGATGCTCAGGACAGCATTTCCTGTGCAGCTAGCTAGGTCTTCCATCTACCTTGACAGGCAGTTCTATTCATCAAATACAAATTTCCTCCTTGTAAAACCTTAACGCAAGATTTAGCAATGATAACAAAAGGAATCACCTTATTTAATGAAGACTGTGAGGTTTAACAAACACACACTTAGTTGCACTCAAGTTCTCATCTGGGCTCTTCTGCCAGGCTGGAGCGGGGCACGCAAGCATGATTCTTTCTGATTGTTTGGAGATGCTTGGGCCCCACAAATCTATTTTTAATGCTGACACTCAAGAAAAGAGAGAAAGTGACAAGAAGTCGTCGAGGACACATTTCTGCATCCAAAAGAGAATTTAAATGGTCTCAATTATGAGCAAAATCTTTTTTTTCCCTGTCTCTTTAAACAGCAAGAAGCAAACAGATTTTTCCCAGCTCTCTTCTCTCCAACACTGCCAGCCACCCATCAGCCCTGACATTACTTTCATCCCAGAAGCTGAAAACCCCAAAAGACTTGGGATTAATCACTTTCAGTTATTATTAATGGATTTTGACATGCAAGATTATTTTCAATTAACATTAACAAATCAAAAAATTACAAAGAGTGTATATCTATTTGTTTATATAAGAAATACATTTTGAAATTTTTAACCATCCAGGAGCAACTTATGTACAATGCAGAATTTGTTTTGTGTTTGGCCTTGTGGAAGATGTGCATAAAAGAGATATGAAAAGATCTCAACATATGCTATGGCATGTAACTTGAAACATTGTTCTGCAGCGCACATCACATACTTTATGAGTATAATGAGGAATGCTTACTTTTTTCTCTCTGACAATTCTGATTTATGGGATACAACTGAAGCATCAAAACCTCCAACACAGTCAATTCTATTTCATAACGTTTATTGAGCAGCTACTCTGTGTGATGTCTTGGGTTGGAGCAATAGAAAGCCCCCGACATCAAGGTGCCTCCCACAGGAGGAAATGGTGCACCAAGGTTCACATTTCACTGCTTCAGCACACTTGTTAAGCATATCTAATTTGTTAACCAAAAAACCCTAAACCAGAGTTTAATTAAAAGAAAAAGGTTGAAACCAACTTTTGTAATAAATACAGCTTGACTTCCATTTAAACTACAGGACAATGGAATTCACAGGGTGCCGTTTTACCTGGGAAAGGCTGGAACACCTCATTTCCTTTGCTATAGGAGTGGCGCTTGACATCTGTCCGCCCATCAGTCTGTCCACCCACTCTCCTCTCCAGCACTGTGAGCGAGGTGCGGGGCCAGGCAGACAAGATACAGCCAGGACTTGCACCTTCTTGGGTAACATTTCCAAATGTAGTTCCCCACGACTGTGTAAAAGAGCACCACTCTTTGCTGTGTTTGCAATAAGAAAGGAGCTCCCTGGAAGGGCAGCACTGTTTTCTGCTCCTGCAAACACATTGAGCTTGTCGACACTGGTCGTTCTGGATGCTTATCTGCCTCATCCCTTGTTGTGTTGTCAGTCTAATGCCTCAAAGCGTATCTAAGCTGTAACCTAAACCCTGCGACCTCATGTATCACTGCATTGCCTGTGAGGCTCAATAAATCATGTCCCCCAGCAGCAACAAATCCATCTAGTTCTTAGAAAGAAGATGCAAATCACAATCAGAGGCACCTTCCTGCACTCTCAAGAAGATTTCACGTGTATGAAACAACCGAAGTCCTCCTGATACCGCCCCAGAGAGACCCTTCCTGAAGTACCAGGTCCAGCTCGGGACTCCATATGTCGAGATGCAAATGAGGAGTTTCAGAAGAGATTTATAAGACAATCTGAAGATTGCAACCAAGTAAACACCAAGAAAAGCTAAAGAGGTACTTAGCCTGGATGAATCTTTTCTCAGCCAATACAGATACCAGGTTGCTACAGACGGAAACATCCTCTGCCCACTCTCCCAGCTCACACTGCAGAGGAGGGATTTCAGGACACGTGATCCAAACATTCATCAAGATATGCTAAGTCTTGTTCGTAGATCAGGAAACCCAAGAGTTGAACCAGAATGTGTGAATACCCCAAAGAATGGCTTGGCCTGAATTTCATGCTTTGCACTCGGTCCTCGGCACAGTCAGGGGACAGTTGTGGAGACAGCACTGGGATGTCCCCTCCTGGCTCATCAGGTCACCAGAGACACATCACTCAGGTGTCCCTATGTGAGCGCCTAATTAACAACATGGTGAAACCCCGTCTCTACTAAAAATACAAAAGTTAGCTGGGCATGGTGGTGCATGCCTGTAGTCCCAGCTACTCGGGAGGCTGAGGCAGGAGAATTGCCTGAACCCAGGAGGTAGAGGTTGAGGTGAGCCGAGATGGCGCCATTGCACTCCATCCAGCCTGGGTAACAAGAGCAAAACTCCATCTCGAAGAAAAAAAAAAAAGAAATATCTTGTTTGTTAGTGCCAAGAAAAGCTAACTTCCTTCCTGAGTTAACTGTTCAATGTCTTTACTTTGTTTTCTGTTAAAAAAATTCAGCAGCAGATTTAGTCAATTTCAGGTAAGTCTAGTAATACACACCTCTTCCAGGTCTCTCCTCACATGTCAGAGAAATCTTCCCCAACAACCCTTTACAAAATCACCCAACCTACACTCCTGGACCCCACTCCTCTCCTGCTTCCCTTGCTTAACTTTTCTCCTGGCACTTGTTTACCATCTGACATCCTTTACGTCATACTAGTTTATTCGAGCTTTATCTTTTCCCCCCTGGAAAGTAATCACCATGATGGCAGACACTGGTTCTCTCCTAGACCCCAGCAACTAGAACCCTGCCTGACAATAGCAGGTGCTCAGTAAGTACCAAATGAATCAATACAAGGGGCTAACTGTGAGAAACCCTATGGTTTGCATTTCTACTTTCTCCGTGAACTTCAACTTTGATTTCAGATTATATATTTCCCTGGTTTTGATGCATTTACTGTTTTTGTTTTCTGCTTTTAAAGTATGTGTAAGCCAGCTAAAATCTTTTGTAAAATGAAGCGGGAGGTAGCAGATAGAGAGATAGGCATAAGCAGATAAAAACGATGACCTAATTATCAGACCCTTTGCATTTTAACAGATGGTAAAGTCTCCACTGAGGATAGAAAAGGAAATGAGCCAAGCAGATAAAGGATTAATTAAGTGAAGCAACCTTTACCCCAAAATTGATCATCTCTTCCAACCAGAGCAGTATCCTGTGTTGACTGGATCAGGGGTTTACTATTTAGGAAAGTCAGTCCACTAGGAAATCCTCCTGGCTTCTCTGGCTACCCCCATGCATCCTACTAGCTCAATTTACTGATGGGCCTTAGGCACTGAGGGTTGTTTTCACCAGAGATATGTCTCAGTGGTCCACAGCATGCTCATTTCACTCTGGGATTCTTTGAAAGAAAATGAATGAAGACGTTCCAGAATTTTTTCTTGTTAACTATACTATACGTCTCCCCCAAACACCTCCTGATACTGCCCCAGTATAGAGACAGAGCTACTGAAGCACTCCCATGAGATCAGAGGTAGAATAAGAAAAGGCATGAGACTAACCCATTTCATTCCAAGTTCAACCTCAGGTAGGTTAAAGACTTAGAAACACATGGAGGAGGAGGGAAATTGACTATAAAACAGGGACGAATACCTACGAAAGGAGGGTCCCTACCTGTTTAACCACAGTCACTGTCCCTGGTGCCATGGCAACCACTGAGGCAAGGGCAGTGGCGTCGTGGGTCTCAGCGCCCAGCTCAATGATCTGCTGCAGGATGTTCACGGCCGTGGGGTCCAGTCGGTCGCCTTAAGAGGAAGAAGCCAAGAGGACATCATTAAGGCCACTGGTGCTGCAGGACATGGAATGCAAAACCAGCTCCTCTGTTCTCCTGGGTGACGCCTTCTCCAGAGGATGCACTGGCTCTCTGTAATCTTGTTTTCTGCTTTTAAAGTATTTGTGTAGGCCAGCTAAAATCTTCTGTAAAATGAAGCAGGAGGTAGCAGATAAGAGAGATAGGCATAAGCAGATAAAAACGATGACCTAATTATCAGACACTTTGCATTTTAACAGATAGTAAAATCTCCACTGAGGATAGAAAACAGAAATAATCTGTCTGGTGCGTTAGAGTTTACAAAATATTTTCCATAAGAACATCTCAAAGCTCCAAGCAACCTTGTGAGGATGGGACATTGAGATGTTATTTTCATTTTATAGATTCCTCATGTGGGCCACTGGGTCAGATACACCACAAAGCCAGAACTCAAACCTACATGTTCCGAGTTCTAATGTGGGGACACAAGGTTGCCCTCAAAGTGGAACTCCTGAGGAGTGCCAGCCAGGCAGACTCAGTGAAAGTGTGTGCCAAGAAATTCCACAAGTTATAGGCGCAACATCCAAGGATGTCTCAATTATTCAACCAGTGGGCTTTAGAACTCCAAACCAATTGAAGCTGGAGGTTCTATTTTAATCATCTCTAAAGACTGGACTCTGCATCATCAGGGCAGCTATTTAGTATCCCCGCCTGCTCCCACCATCTGCCAGGCCATCTGCAGCCGTCCTGAGCACACCATGACCCTGATCATTAATTTACTAAAAGAGAAGTAACTGCTTGATCTCCACCTTAGCATAATATTATGCAGTCTCTGCCAACATTTTCATCCTCGGGGGCAGCTTTTTGTGGGCCATGTTCCAATGTAAGTCAATCAATAACAGATTAGAGAAAGGGGACTCAATGTGTCTCATGCAGAAGGTAGGACATGCCGGTGGCTGAGGCAGTGGCCGGCTATATTCACAATGCATCCCCCAGCACCCCCCAAACACATGCACCTTAGGGGAAATGGTGCAAACGTACTTTGCAACCAATCATTCTGAATGTGCAAGGTTCTAATTTCACTTCCATGGACTCCCTCAGTGACCATTTATCAAGCCCTGGGAACTATTGCTCCTGATGGGTATACAGACAAAGCCCTAACCCTTACCCCTCACCCCCCAACTCCTCCCAGGGCTCACAGGCTCCTGAGTCAGACTGTAAGCAAATCATGACAGTACCTGGCAGGTCCCATGTCAGGAGTGCAATTAGGCAACAGTGCAGGAAAGTGAGCGGGATTCTCAGGAGGTGACCTGCAGTCTGAGTACTGCAGACGAGGATGAATTTGGCAGAAAAAGGCTGTGAGAGCGAAGAAAGCAGGCTACACCCCAGGGAGCAATGGAGTGTGCGTTCTTTCTGAGAGCTGTAGATCTGGCCAAGGGCAGTATAGCCCAGGAGTGGGATGGCCAGAGACACAGACAAAGCCAGGCAGGAGCCAAAGAAGCTGTGCCTGGCCTTTTCAGCTGCACAGTTAACAGCTAGGAAGTGACACCATGGAGGGCCTGAGGAGAAGTGAGAGTGTGAGTGTGAGTGTGAGAGTGAGAGAGAGAGAGAGAGAGAGAGAGAGAGAGAGTGTGTGTGTGTGTGTGTGTGTGTGTGCTCATAGGGGATGCAGACAGACAGGCTGTATCTTGTAGGTCCTGAGTGATCATTGATGTCATTGGACATCACAGAAGAAAACTCAAGTTGTGACAAGACCTCAGTGTTGAAAGCCACATTTAACAGCCTGGGCCTCAACTCTCCCATCTGCAGAAGTGGAGGCGCCACCTCCTGCATTCTCTGCAGCCCCACAGGCAGTGAACACAGCCCTGCCAATTAATCTTCCCTAAACTGACTGGCCCACAGGAGTTTTCTGTGCAGCTTCCTTACAATCTGGAGTTTGGGGATTTCAGAGCTGGGCAAAAGTGGTGTCTTCCTAACTCCTATTTCCTATCACCATTTCATTTGACTTAATGCTTCCCCTTTAACCCAACCTGCCTGACCTCTGCCCTCCAAATATGTACAGGGCTGCAGTATGAGACATTAACTTGGGTTCTGTTCGTATTTTAAAAAGAGCATCAAGAAAAACTGTTTTCTAAGCATAATGCTTAGGCTGGTATGGTAGCTTCTTTTTCTCTTCTTTTATTCTTTTTCTTTTTCTTTTTTTCTTTTTTTTTTTGAGACAGAGTCTTGTTCCATTGCCCAGACTGGAGTGCAATGGCACAATCTCAGCTTACTGTAACCTCCACCTCCCAGGTTCAAGCAATTCTGCCTCAGCCTTCTGAGTAGCTGGGATTACAGGTGCATACTACCATACCTGGCTAATTTTTGTATTTTTAGTAGAGACGGGGTTTCACCATATTGGTCAGGCTGGTTTTGAACTTCTGACCTCACGATTCACCTGCCTCAATCTAACATTTGACAATCATGACATTTGATGTAAAAATCCTGATGGGCCTCTTGGGAAGGAGTGATTCTGGCCTTGCAGGTCTGCAAAGTGATTCCCTGCATGCCACAGTCTCTGCCACTCTCTACTACCCATTGAACCCACACCACCTCCTGCCACTGCCTGCCTGGTCCCTGTAGGCCCTGGAATAGATGTCCCTAAGAAAGCATGGAATGGGACAATGCCATGACAAGTTAGGAGACCTAAATTCCAGGACGAGCTCCCTCCAACACCCTAAAGTGGGTGACCCTCAGCCAATCACTAACAACCATTAACCATTAGTCAACATTAACAGTGAACAGCAACCTTCCGCCTCTATGAAGTGAGAAAAGTCAGATCTACTCCCCTCACAAGGCTGTTCTGAGAATTAAATGTGCTAAGATGTGGGGAAATCTTGTGGCCCTGTTCTAAGGCCTCCCCTCTGCTGTGGCTCTGCTCTAGAGCATTTCTGGAGGCAGAGATCTCTGGTGCCTGGTAATGGGACTGCTTCTACAGACTGAATGCTGGGCCAGGGATTCAGAAGCAGGTCACCTGATGGACACCATTCATCACAAATGCATTCATTTAGCTCGTCTAGGAAAGACAGCTGTGAGATGACAAAGGAAGACCAGGTACCCTCACCACTCTCAGAGGTGTATCTCAGGTCCTGGAGTGCGGCCACAGCTGCCTGTGTCCCCTGAATGTCTTCTTCCGCCTCTGTGATGTGGAGATACTGGGTGGAGGGCTCCTCAGGAGCTTCTGTTGCTGTCTAAATAAAAACATAACACCTAAGTCATCTCCTAAAAGATTGACTGTTGCCAAGAAGTTCCACGATAATGTATTAAGACAGAACAAATGCACACAAGAAAGCAATACATTGCGACATCTTGTTTACCTGGCAACCCTGATAAACCAGTTGCTCCCATAATTATACTTTCCAGAGAGAAAACTTATCTTTGTGAGGACCAAGACCTTTAAGAACCAGCTTTGGTAAAAAGCCCCTGCTGGACATTTGTGTGGTGAGAAACAGAGCATGTATGTTGTTCACAATTAGCTCAGATATTCTTGCATACACTCTTCTAATGGCTTCTCCATTTCCTCCCCAGGTGACCAATACTACCTCTAATCTGCACCTTACCCTGGGGACTGGTGCCATGTGGCCAATGGAGGAAGGGGCACAGCCACCGGGCAGCTGATGGTGGAAGGTTTAGGGGAGGTGATTACACAGAGGAAGGGACACAGCCACAGGGTAGCCATGGTGGACGGGGTAGGGCAGGTGATTACACAGAGGAAGAGGAGCAGCTGATGGTGGATGGGGTAAGGTGGGTAATTACACAGGGGAAAGGATGCAGCCACGGGGCAGCTGATGGTGGACGGGGTAAGATGGATGATTACACAGAGGAAAGGATGCAGCCACGGGGCAGCTGATGGTGGACAGGGTAGGGCGGGTGATTTACACAGAGGAAGGGGCACAGCCACAGGGCAGCTGATGGTGGAAGCAAAAGGACCAGTGATGACACAGCATATGGAAAACACAGGTCCTGGCAGGGTAAGAGTTCAGCAAATCTTAGTTATGTGTGCCATTCTTATTCTTCCATGAAGGTAAGAAATAAAACAGACTACAAGAAATATATTTGCACAAAATCAGGATTTGTGAGAGGAGGAGGAGTTAAAGTGGCATTCACAGGTACCTCATGCTTCAAGGAGAGAAGAGGTGAAACAGAAACTTTACAGAACTACATGTTAATAAGTATCTCTTTCTGAACAGGATGGAGAGTGCAAGCAAAACTTTAACGCCAGATGCACGAATGTCACCAATGAAGAAAAACAAAACGAAGGACTTCTGACAGAATTTACAGGAGTCAAGTTATGCTCGATAAGCACAGATCAGTAAATTACATAGAGGTTCGGAATAGTATGTAATATTCCTTCACAGCCAACTGGCCAAGTCCACTTAGGTGTTTCCATCCCAACATATAGTAGACACCCCAAAAATATTAAATGAATGCATAAATGAACAAAAAAAGAACATTTTGTTCCCAGTACCATGAGGTAACAGATTGGCCAACAGTAGATTCAGGCAATGCCTTAGCTTGTGAGAGGACAGGATGTAGCCTGAAAGGTCTCTCCTCATTCTGGGGAAAGCATGTAGTAATTGCTGTCAGGAAGGGTGGTGCTCTTTGCAAGGCATTCCTGGGAGCCAGGTGACACACAGCTTCCTGGCTGCTCACCGTCTCATGTATGGAGTCAACTACCTGGCCTTATGTCAACTATTTCTGTTGGGTTACAGCTCTGCATGAGGTGCTAGAATCTGCTGGAAGCAAGGCCTTCAGGGGAGAGGGGCATTATTGAATGCATTTATAAAAGTACTGACTGACAAGATGGACTGAGTTTTACATTGGTAATTGACATTCGAATGTCTATTTTGTTAATGAAGAGTAAATTCTTCCAGTATGTATTAATACTTGAAACAGTAGATGATTGCTTTAGCATAGATGAAGATGGAAAAGTGACCATCATCAACATCCACAATAATCATAGCAGCTGCCCTTTTCTCAGGGCCTCCAGGGGACTGGTTCAGACCTCAGCATTTTACACGTGGTTTCTCTCAGTGCTTCTGAGCACTCGAGGATTATTAGCCTTCCGTACAGATGAGAACACTGAGCCATGACGGTTAAACAATGGCTTCAGGGCAAGCAGTTTATAGGTGACAGAGGGTTCAAAGGGCTCCAAACTTCTTACTTTAAAAAAAAAATTTAAACACAAAAAAGCAAAGCGACTGATCTAATAAACTTCCACGTATCCATTAACCAATTTCAGCAATGATCAATCATGGCCAGTCTTTCTTGGCCTATGTTCCCACGCACTCTGTGCCCTGCCCTCGGATTATTCTGAAGCAAATCTTGAAGTCATTATTTCCCCTATAAATATTTCACAGTGTATCTCTAAAACATAAACCTCGCCCAAAAGAGAACTACAGTGCTCCTGTCACACTTAAAAACTTCACAATAAATCCTTAATATCATCAATGGTCTAGACAATGCTTGAATTTCCCCAATTATCTCATATTTTAGGTTTGTTCAAATCAAATCTAAACAACGCGCACACATTAGAACTGATTAATATGTCTCATAAGACTTAAAACCCATAAGCTCTTCCTCCATTTCTGGCATTTTTCCCCTTGTAGTTTGTTTGCTGAAGACAGCAGGGTGTTTGCCTTACACAGCTGTCAGCAAGCTAACTTTCACTGATTGCCTCCCCATGGAACTGACCAGCATTCCTCCGTCCACAGTGTTTTCCGTAAACTGGTCACTGGATATAAATAATAAAGCTTAATTAAATTCAGGTTTCCTTTTTGCTAAGCGTGCTTCATGAGTTACACTGGGCAGTTCTTTCAGGAGACACGGGTTGGATGGTGGTCTCTTTAATGTAGTATCAGCAGTAACTGATGATCCATGACAGAATTAGAAGGTTGCAACATGGTAATATTCTCATTTTTCATGTGTTAGTTGAAATAGTTTGAAAGAAAAACCTTCCCCTCATCAAATGTTTGGTCGTGTTTACATAGGGTTGGTTTATTTATTTATTTATTTTAAAGGTATTATAGGGCTGGCTCGGTGTGGTGGTTCACGCTTGTATTCCCAATATTTTGGGAAGCCAGGGTGGGAAGATCATTTAAGGCCAGGAGTTTAAGACCAGCCTAGGAAACAAAAAAAAATCTTGTCTCTATTTTTAAAAATTTCAAAAAATTAGCCAGGCATAGTGGTGCCTGCCTATAGTCCCGTCTACTTGAAAGATAGTAGACAGGACTACTGTCTCCTGAGGTAAAAGAACTGCTTGAGCCCAGGAGTTCGAGGTTGCAGTAGGCTATGAAGGGAGGCTCCACAGCTTGCCAGGCTGGGTAGCTGGACCCTAGCTGTCAAAAAAATTAAAAAATAAAGGTAGGACAATTGTTTAATTCTTGGTCTTAATTTACCAGTTTTTTTTTAATTGTACTTTAGGTTCTGGGGCACATGTGCAGATGACGCAGGACTGTTGCATAGGTATACACTTGGCAATGCGGTTTGCTGCCTCCATCCCCCATCACCTACATCTGGCATTTCTCCCCATGTTACCCCTCCCTGACCTCCTCACCCCCTCTCCCGCTGTCCCTCCCTTGGGCCCCCACAACAGACTCCAGTGTGTGATGCTCCCCTCCTTGTGTCCATGTGTTCTCATTGTTTGACACCCGCCTATGAGTGAGAACATGTGGTGTTTGATTTTCTGTTCTTGTGTCAGTTTGCTGAGAATGATGGTTTGCAGATTCATACACGTCCCTACAAAGGACATGAACTCATTGTTTTTTACAGCTGCATAGTATTCCATGGTGTATATGTGCCACATTTTCCCCGTCCAGTCTATCATCGATGGGCATTTGGGTTGGTTCCAGGTCTTCGCTATTGTAAACAGTGCCTCTATGAACATATGTGTGCTTGTGTCTTTATAACAGAATGATTTATAATCCTTTGGATATATACCCAGTAATGGGATTGCTGGGTCAAATGGAATTTCTATTTCTAGGTCCTTGAAGAAGCGCCACACTGTCTTCCACAATGGCTGAACTAGTTTACACTCCCACCAGCAGGGTTAAGAGTGTTCCTATTTCTCCACATCCTCTCCAGCATCTGTTGTCTCCAGATTTTTTAATGATCGTCATTCTGACTGGAGTGAGGTGGTATCTTAATGTGGTTTTGATTTACATTTCTCTAATTATCAGTGATGATGAGCATTTTTTCGTATGTTTTTTGGCCTCATGTATGTCTTCTTTTGAGTGTTTATTCATTTCCTTCTCCCACTTTTGGATGGGTTTGTTTTCTTTCTTGGATTCTGGATATTAGCGCTTTGTCAGATGGGTAGATTGCAAAAACTTTTTCCCATTCTGTTGGTTGCCAGTTCACTATAATGATTGTTTCCTTTGCTGTACAGAAGCTCCGGAGTTTAATTAGGTCCCATTTGTCTATTCCGGCTTTTGTTGCCAATGCTTCTGGTGTTTTAGTCATGAAGTCCTTGCCTATGCCGATGTCCTTCAAAATGAAGAGCTGTTTCTCTAACATTAGACAAAGGTGACTGAGTTGTTTTTCCCAAATATCATTATAAACTTACAGAATGAAATATATTTTGTGCTTCACTGTCATTATTGAACACTAGGAACAGCCCGAGAATCACAATATCATCCCTCCTCCCAACAACAGAATACATGAAAACTGCAGCTTTTGCAGTTTGCTTCGCCCTTAGGTTACATCCTAATCAAATAACTCTTTTGAAGTCTCTTGAAATTGTTCCTCTCTATATAGTTATGTCACCAATTTGATATACAGTTAGAATCATTTATTTTACTCACAATGTTTAAGACTTGCTTTTAATTGTTTTTATTATTATATAAAATACTTTTACAATATTTTATATAATCAGAGTCGAATCTACACAGCAGGGTATGTTGAGCAGTTAGGCAGAGAACAAGAATAGGGATATCCCTTCCATCTTGTTCTGTGCCTCCTTTCCCCAAATAAAATGACCCCATTTCTAATTTTTTGTACCTACTTTACTTTGAAATAATTTTAGCCTTACACAAGAGTTTCCAAGTCGTAAAGAGCTGCAACAGAGAGTTCCTGCAGACCCTTTACCCAACCTCCCCTAATCTTAGCATCTTTTGTGATCATGGCCCAATCATCAAAACAAGAAATTAACATTGGGACACTATTACTAATTAAACAATAGGCTTTATCCAGATTCCTCCAGTTTTCTCATCAGTGTCCTTCTCTGTTCCAGGATTCAATCCTGCATGGCGCAGCGCATTTAGCCATCATGCCTCCACTGTCTCCTCCTGTCCGTGAACATTCCTCAGACTTTCCTTATCTTTCATGACCTTGACACTTTTGAGGAGTACAGATGAGGTATTAGACCTCACATTAATTTGGATTTGTCTGATGGTTTCTGATAATTAGACTGAGGTTGAAGATTTTAGTTAAGAATACCATGATATGAAGTGTCTTCTCATCTAATAACATTGTATCAGGCGTTGCATCAGGTGACACGTGATGTCAGCATGCTTCATTACTGATGATGCCAACCTCTATCATTTGGAGAAGGTGATGCCTCCACTGTAAAGTTCTTATTTTTGCCTTTTGTAATTCACAAATATTTGGAAGGAGATACTTAGAGTTTATGTGAATATCCCATTTCTACTTAAACTTTTCCCTACTAACTTTAGCATTCCTTAATGGATCTCACCTGCTCTGACTGTTCCTGTGGTATTGTAATAGGATTTTTCTATTTCCTTCATTCCTTCTACATTTATTAATCATTATTTTTTAATCATTATTTATTGGGGGAAAAGCACAATTCCTTTTCCCACATTTATTTATTCGATCATTTACATCAGTATGGACACATATTTATTTTATACTTGGAGCTGTAACTTGAAGTATAAAATACTGGATTTGGATCTGATCCAATATTATCATTTATTTTGATTCTCACATTCTTCCAGCTTTAGCCATTGGGAGCTCAATCAGGTTTGTCTCCTATGTTCTTCTGACATATATGCCCTCATCTGTATTTTATTAATTGACTGATTAATTGCACATGTCATTACTTTCTAGCACCACAAAATGCTTCAGGATCATCGCACACATTTTCTTCCTCAGCCCTGGAATCAACCACTTTTTAAAGGGACACAGGTTCCTTTAATTAAAGAATGCTATTAGAAACAAAAATGTGGGCATTAGGTGTGCTCACTGTTACCAGGGTGTAACTGCTTCTAGGCCCTTTTAGTACAAAAAGCTAGGAAATGCATTTAGCACACTAACCATTTATAACACATATAATTTTTTTTTTAAACATGAGTCCAACGTGATAACCTCTGACTCCAGTTCAGCGATATGAGGTTCCTTCTGGCTGTGCCCCTATGCTTACTTGGAACTTCTTCCTCCAACAGCGAGAAATCTGGCTTCTGTTATCTACAGTATATTTACTTACTTATTCATTCACACTATACACACAAAGTGGTTTCAGAATCAGGAACCCATACCGCTGTGAGCAACACATTTACTAACTAGATCACAGCACTTACCTACGGTTCTTTTTGTCTTTAGCCTCAGAGTGTCTGGTAAAAACACTGTTCTCTAAAGTTACTGAGTTCAGCTCCTTTCTTCCCCAACCCCTTCACTGTAAATATGTCATTCATCTGTAACACGGTTGGTTAGACTCATTTGCCATACATACTCTTCTTTCAAGTTTTAAATTTATCCTTCAACTTTAAATATATAAACAAAGCACACATGCACATACTTTTCTTCACTGCTTTTTTTCACATAACATTTGCAGTGTAATTGTGCCATTACATACTCACTGAACCTCTAGTTAATAAACACTGAGCTGTTTCCAGGCACATGCTATTAACAATGTGCTGCAATGACCACCCTTATGCAGATACTTTTTCTCATTTTTCCTAATGAAACTTTGGAATGGTTGCCTAACAGTGGGATTATTTTGTTAATGGATAAAGAAATGTATATGTAATTTTGTTACATATCGCTAGTCCCTTCATAGGGCTGGGCCATTTTACATTCCTACCAGCAACTTATGAGAGCAGTTTTCCCCACAGCCTTTCGAGCAGAAATATAAAACTTTTGGATTTCTGTCAAGCTAGAAGGTGAGAAAGTCCATTCCAGGCTAATTTTAATGAACATTTATTTCCTTATGTGAGGGCTGATCATGTTTTCAGATCTTCAAAGTCATTTACATTTCCTTTTCCCTGAACCTTTCTTATCTCTCGCCCATTTTTCTAATGGGTTGTTGAGCTTTCTCATCACTATTTTTTATAGGCCTTTTATAAAAATATTAATTTTTTCTATGATATGACTGAAAATGTTTTTATCATTTATCTTTTTATTTGTTTATGAGTTCTTTTCCATAGGACTTTTAAAGTTTTTCTATGCAGTCAATTTTTAAAAAATCTTTTTCCTTATTGAGTCTGGATTTTGAATTATAGTTACAAAGGTTCTCCACATTCTCAGTTTATAGATGAATTCACTTTTGTTTTCTTCTAGTATTTGTAAAATATCACTGTTTTTACATTTAAATATCTGATCCTTTTGAAATTTATGTCATATAACTTTATATAAGTTGTAATAAACAGATTCAATTTTATCTTTTTTCACATAGCTATTTAGTGATCCTATGTCATTTATCAAAAAGCTCACCTTTCTCCTACCAACGGGAGACACGATCTTTATCATATACTAAATGTCCATACATCATTGGGTCTATTCTAAATTTTCTGTTCTGTTTCATTAGATCATCTATTCATGCACACTGTCTTAGTTACAGAGATTTCCTAATATGTGTTAATATCTGGTAGGATTCTCCTCTTACGGTTGTTATTCCCAAGGATTTCCTAGCTGATTGTACTTAGTCTTCCAAATGAACTTTAGAAATCAACTTGATTAGCTCCAGAAAAAAAATCTAATGGTATTCAGATTATATGTAGTATTTAATAGATCATATTACACTGATAAAATATTGTGTAAATTACCTTCAGGGGAATTAACATCTTTATGATATTGAGTATTCCCAGGTTTATGTCTCTTTCAGGAGTGTTTATAAGTTTCCCATATTTATATTTTGGACATTTTTTATAAAATTTATGCCTAGATTTATCTTGGTTTTGTTTCCTGTATCAAATAGGGATTTTGTTTCCACTGTAACTGATTTATATATGTATATATGTGTGCATACATTAGCATATACATATTCTTATATATACACATACGTGTATACACAATTACATGTATATATATCTATGCTACTAACTGTTGTATGTTGACCTTTTAATCTGCTGCTTCTTTTTGTATTAGCTTTTCATTCACTCTTTTGGATGTTCTGAAAATATCTTGCTATTATATGCATATAAAGATACTTTTATTTCTTTCCTTTAAGTTCTAGTCTCCATCTGCTTTGCCTGGTCTAGCCACACTGATTGATGCCTTCACATGCTGTCAAAGAACAGCAGAGCCACCGGGCACCTTTGCCTGCTTCTGACTTTAGTGCAAACACTCCAGTGTTTCCCAATGAAGTAAGATGCTGGTAAGAAATGGGTGACACAATTTTTTTCATTGGGTGACACAATTTTTTTTTCATCTTAAGGATACATTCATCAAATTCTATTTATTCTTTTTCCTCAGTGAACACTGAATTTTGTCAGATGCCTTTTCTACATCTATGAAGGTGACTGTTTCATGTTATAATGGACTATGTTAACATGTTATCTTCCACTGAGACCACCTTTCCCTTGCATTCCAGAATAATCCCCACACTGTCATGAAGTATTATTTTTTTAAGTGTTGTGGATTCTGTTTAAAAGCCTTCTCCTAACGTCTGGATGCTCTGTAAAGTCCTTAGATAAACTGAGGGTGATTTTTACCCCCAGGAAACACTGAACACTGGCAATGTAATGGAGACATTTTTGGACATCTCAACAGGGGATGGGGTTGGCAGAGGGGTGATGCTATAGTAACGAGTGAGAAGAGGCCAGAATCGCAGCTAAACAGCCTGTAGGGCACAGGACAGTCCTCTACAACAAAGTATGGTCCAGACCAAAATGTCGACAGCACTGAGTATGAGAAACCCTGTTTTAGGTAATTGCAATTAGTCTGGGGAGGTGATACCTAGTATCTGAAAAGAGAGATGGCCATTGGCTCTTGTATTAAAGATGTGTTTTCAGCCAGGTGACTGGTTCCAACTCCTGAGGAAAAACAATAAAGATGGCAGATAGTAGCATGAACCCTCCACAGAAGGAGAGCAAGATCTGGAATCAGGAAATGGAGCTTTTTCCAATTCTCTCAGTGAGGATGGCAATACAATAGAATCCCTGCCTTCCATTCTTTCAGATGCAACACCTGAAACTGGGGATTTGTGAATCATGTAAGTAAAAGTGTCCAGGAGGCCAATACAAACTTTCCCAAAAGAGTCTAATTCAACCCAGCACAAGAACTCACGGGCATGGCCCAGACCTTACCCAGTTACACCCCTCAGACATGAGACATAATGTGAAAATGTTTCAGAAGTTTCCCAACCAGAAAATCCAATGTTCTGAGGAATGACTGTCTGTACCCAGTATTTGGGCTTGCCTGGCTTGTCATTTGTTTTAGAAATGTCAAGATTAATACCATACTTAAAAAAAATTACCTCCCACTTGGGGTCTCCATCAATTTCCACCACCTTCAAGCCATGTTTGTTCTTCAAGTGCCTATTGAACTCCCATTTGGTGCCGTATACAAAGCTGCAAACAGGACACTTCAAACCACCTGAAAGCACAGACAGAGGTTTAAAAAAAAGTGTTCATAATACATTAAAATGCAACAGTTCCTCCTTTGGTCCAAATATCTCAAATCTAGTAAGCATTATTTTGTCTCCAGCACTTACATTCAAGCCAAGCTTACCTTAGTATTAGAACACAATAGCCACAGTGTGTGTTTTTCAAGGCAGAGGTTTTAAACCTTAATGTACTTTTTTATTTGTTGAATAAGCTTTTGCAAACATCCTAATATGTGCCTAACAGTTTAAATGCCAGAGAGAACTAAGATGAGTAATATAATTCCCTTTGCCAGTGGGTAAGTGGCTTAAATCATTCTCTCATTTTTTTCACTGGTAAATAACAAATAATTTAGAACACAAAAACAACAGAAGTGGAGTGTCTGCTTTTCTTAATCTCCTTTGTCCCAAAACACTAAGATCAGGAGCCAGATTCTCAGTCTCCTTCATGTCAGAAGCTAAGTCACTGGCATAAATTCCCATGCAAATTTCCCAATAAAGAATAAATTAAAAAGCTGGTCACATCCTGAAATGTCATTATTTATTGAACTGATTAAATTTTGCACATATTCCAGGAAGTATTTAGATGCTTTAATTAAGAGAATGTACAACTCTAGGTTTAAAAAAACCCAAACTGGAGGGTCACACAAAAGAATTATCTTTCTACAATTATATCAGAAGCAGCAACTAAACTGTAGCCTGGACAAAAGTCTCTTTGAACAAATTCTGCCTTTCAGAAGCAAACTCCACCCTTGGGAGACTAAGGGTAGTTCTGGGGCCAGGCTTCTAGTCTACTGGTCTGAGCCAGGCTGACTGCTGTCACCACCAGGCCTCCGCCCTGAGCTGGGCCAGGGAAATGAGCCCTCTCACCAACATCCCAGCACCACAGCTACCTGGTACTATTCCAGCAGGTCGCTCTCTAGTTGCAAGCTCTGGCCTCCCATCCTCCTCTGCCATGTCTTCTCTGTGGCCCGCATGGTCTCTCCTTTATGCCAGTGCTTCCACAGCCATCCTGGAATCTCAGATCTCCCGGACAACAAAATCCCCAACATTCACCTTGTCAGAGGGCACACTCCTTCCCTCTCCATCTTTGACCACACTCTCCGCTAAGTCCTCTCAGGTGGAGGCTGCTCATGCTCTTAAGCCCCAAGTAATGAGGAGGCCAGGCCTGGGCAGGGCAGCAACAGCACCTCTATGGTAGAATAGGACCATTTCCCTCTCCTGTCCCTCCTACCCACAGTGTCAGACCGGTCCATCAGACAGTTTGGCACCTGACCCTCTTCACTTAAATACTGTAATGTCCTTCAATTATAAGGCCAAGAACCTTCCCTACCATTTCACCATCTATGGAGTTTCACTCAGTCATCCATATGATTATTCAGCACCACCCGTGGGGCTAAAGCCAAGCATTCCACTCTGATGACTATTGGTCCTCTGGCCCTCTCTTATTTTCACTACCATTATTCTTCCATTTCTGGAGGATCTCCGGTTTGCATACTCTCCCATTTTATCTCAACCCACCCCAAACTCTGCCCCTCTCTCCAGAAAGCATACTCCAGAGCCCAAAAAGTAACAACTTTCATTGACAAAGCCCTCCATGTCCTCAGCCACTTCTTTCTCTCAAATCTGTTTGGCAAATCCACAGCCCAGCACTGATCCAAGCCCCAGTCCTCCTTGCTCTGACCCTGGGATGCTGAGGCAAAGCACAAAGCCGTATGTGTTCTTATGGCCACACTTCCAACTCAAGTATTCCCTAGTCAGCTCTGTCCAATCATCCAGAAGAGGAGCTGCAATTCTCCATCCCATCCATCTCATGAAGTCCCCTATATTATTGTCGACTTCCTCTTTCAATCACAGCCTCAGTTCTTGTCTCCTGCTTCATAATGAAAATATCAGGTAAGAACTTTCCCGACCTTCCTGGACTATAACATTCTGTCCTTCTACACCTCCCTATATTGACCTGATGCCAGCTGTGGGTGAGAGTTCCCCTCTGCCTTCCAAGGCCCCTTTCCCCTCGTTCTACAGTACCGATCCTCAGCCCTGTTAGGCTCAATGCCCCTTTCTACAACAAGCCGTTTAAGATTCCTCCATCATCCTGAAGTTTTTTCAAAGCCCCTCAAGTTTTGAAACCTTGCATGGGTGCAAGTACCACTCCACTAAACACCCTGTTCCTCCGGCCTCCATGATCACACATGTTTCTGCTTTCCCTGTCCCATGGCTGAGCCTCCTCCTCTGTCCTGTGTCCCCTAGGTGGGCTATCCAGACATTCTTCAGGCTCTTCCTCCTGCCCAGGACACATATTATCTACAAAATGATGACCGTGCTATTTTTGTACCTCCAGCCCAGACTCCCATCCTGAGCTCCAGCCTGGGATGCCTCCCTGCAGGTAGACAGGACTGTGCATCCTGGTGCCTCCCACGCCTCCTGGCCGGGCCACTATAGGCTTCTGCACAGATGGGAGAAACCAGCTCCTAACTGCCCTCCTAGAGCCACTGTCTGTTCTCCACTGCTGGTCTGCTTCCCACCAAGCACTCAACATGGTCTTTTGAAAACACAGACTAGATCCCGGTGTCAGAGGTATACACCCTTCCAGTGGTCTTCTGTCTCACCTACAATACAATCCTGACTTCTCCCTGTGGCTTGCGGGTCCTGCCTCCCTCTTTCTCTTCCTCATTCTCTCCCTTTTCTGTCTTTTGCATTGACCAAGTTCATTCCCTTACTGGGACACCTGCTGTGAATCCTGGTTCACAAAAGCTTCCCCAAGGTCTCTATTTGACCTTCTCATCCTCTTTAAGCATCACCTGTTCAGAAAGGCCCTCCTGGGGGACTCCTAGCCCCATCAAACATACAGAGCCATCAAAACTCCCTAACGGATTTCCCTACTGGCATCAAATTGTCAGTCTGACATTGTATTATTATCTTTCCTAAACATCTTCATTGTACTTTCTCCCTTCTGAAGTGGCACCTTTTTAGAGTGTGGACTTGAGGGGCATCATCCACTTACTCACTGTTCAAGTCCCAGCAACTAGCATCTAGCTTCCCCTCAATCGTCACATCTTGCCTCACTGACTCTGAGTCTTGGCGAATCCTCTTCTTTCTTTAGCTCCTTCTCCAACCACCCCCTGCTCTCCTTGGACTTCTGCACCTTCCCTCTGTGCATCTGTCCCCTCAGCAAGCATGGTCAGTGTTATCCAAGGGATTGCCTGGGTGCTGCCCTATCTTCTCCTTTCCTTCATAGCCAGGACTCTGTGGAGTCTCCACTTCCAAGAACTCACCAGAAAGAGTTGCTGTGAGTGATGCCTGAGGTAGATAACAGGCTGGGATGCAAGTGAAGGAAGCCAGCATTCACATCTCTTCCATCTTTCAATTTTTATTCTGTGGGAGAGTAACTGCCCTATTCAAAATAGTTACTCAAATTAAGACTACAAATCTAAAATAGAAAAATAAAATGAAGTCATCACTTCCTTGTCTCTCTTCATTACTTAGGCCAGTGGTTCTAAACTATGGGTGATTTTCCTCCCACATAGGCAATGTATGGAGGAACTTCCAGTTTCAAAACTGGGGGGTGCCCAGGACATCCAGTGGGTAGAGGCCAGGGACGCTGCTAAACACCTTACAACACACAGGACAGCCCCCAAAACAAACACTGGCCTGGCCCTGATTGTGAGCAGTGCTCAGTGCTGAGGTTGAGAAGCCCTGCCTCACACCATAGCATGCTGCTTCCTGTGCTCAGTCCTCTCCTGGCATTCCACATGTCAAGATCAGCTAATATCCTCAATCCAATGAATACTCTTCACTCTATCTTATCACTAGTACCACCAACAACACTACTAATAACAATAACAACGTAGGTTTTCCACTAACTGGGCAGTTATCATGCATCAGGCACCTCTACATCAAGTTGTGGTTTCTACCTGATAGCCCAATGACACAGGCACACTTAGCTTGTTTTATACAGAGGCTTGGGATGGTGAAGTAACCCTTCTGAGGTCACACTGCAAAACTAAGAGCTGAATCTAAATCTAACTCACATTGTTAACCCCAGGCTCTGCTACTGTCCCCTGTAACTTCTGTGCATTATATGACAATGCTGACCACATTCTCCACTCAAGATCTAGTCTTCTGGGGCTTCTGTGATACCACTCACTCCTGGTTCTTCTACCAAGCACCTTTCCAACTCAAACACCTGTACAGCCTCCTCATCCTGTATGTGGAGTCCTAAAGCCTCACAAACACTCAGTCCCCTCTCTATCTCCAATATGCAGGTTCAGTGATGTCCCAAAGTATCTCACCTCCCCAATATATATGTGAGCTGAATGAACCACTAACTTGCTTACACTTAGGGAGAGAAAGAGCTGAGCTGGCCACTCAGTGTATTTTGGGCTGCCATGTTTCTATATTGCTCATTGGGGTACCTGGGAAGAAATAGAGGAATTCTGTCCCGATATCAAGGTTATCTGGACAAATTTTACCAGATAAACATCATGGGGATGTGGCCCACATTTAATTATCTCCCAGATGCAGTTTTGATACACTCCATCTCCAAATTAATTCCATGTCAGTGGAATCAAGAAGGAACACTGTTCTATTATTGGGGTTCTTTTCTATCAGCTGAGGTGGTGGGTGATTTTCCAAACAATCACGTTCATAGAGGCCAACCTGCAGCCACCACATAGCCCTCGTACCTTTGCTCACTGCTTCCCGGCCCCACCCCTGGTGGAGACAGAGGAGGGAACAGAGGCAGGAGGCGGCCGCTGTCAGCAGAAAGACTGGCCACGAACACCAAATTCTTAAATTCTAGAATATTCTGCAGAGAAGACAGCTCAGATGAGTGTTTGTTTTCCAAAACTCGTAAATATTGTGTTCTTTTTTCAGGGAAAGCTTCTTTCTTGCCCAGAGGATAAAGTTCATTTTTAACTTCCTTTGCTTTTTTAAAATCACATAAAATGATGTCTTTACTTCAACCATCTTTCAAAAACCTTGCAGGGTGTGA